GTACGCGAAATTGATAGGTTGTGATATGAGGAATCAGACATCGCATCAACACAATGGGGTCAGGCCGACTCATCCTTGTCGATAGATGAGATGATTTAATCGATGTTCTCTCTTTTTTTTTCTTGTCCTCCGTTTTCCTTCGATAAACTAACAGGTCAATAGGGTTGTCATCACGAATGACGGTGACAGCATTGCGCATCCTCTTTCGTGGATAAACATGCCTTACCATGTGCCAATATAGCTTCGTCCCTGAGGAAGAAGCCAGAGAGCAAGTTATCTGTGGATTGAGACAATGCAAACAATCAAATCGATAAATCAAACATAATAGTACAGGCAAATATATATATATATATTTGGACACATGTACCTAAACGTTATATAAATTACTTGTAGATTATTTAAAGTTACCAGCTCAGAAATATTTTGACAAGTTTATACCAGGCATTGGCACCATCACGAGTAAACAGTGTTCAAATAAATTGTAATTAAGTTAAATTTTTATTCACACATTTAATTCACCCGTATCTTGATCGTTTTCTAAAGCATGTTTCTAAAGGAGACTTGAGTCTTTATCTTTGACTGATAAAACTCAGTACGACCGGATGACAACTTTGAAGAGATGCGCATCATGTTGCAGAACTCACAACACATACACAACATCAGGGTTAACACTATGCACGGTCCAGAAAAGTTGTCAGTGTGTTGAAACAAGCCTTTGGCGAAACGTATATGATTCATCTCTCTTAATAATACATCTCTTAAATATATTGCGCTACTTCCTTTGGTTCTTGAGGTAGGCTAGGTATTTTGACAAGTGGTGCAAGTCCGACCAAAGACGTGTAAAAGTGCAGCATTTGTTATTACTGTGCATGAAAACGCACAAGAAACTTGTTATTTCTAGGTGCTTGACAAGATGCCATAAGACAATTAACAGTCATTTCACAATAACACAAAGTAGCACAGGTAAATACTGAATGGTCAGAATCTGTAAGTTGTGCACTGGTCTCTGTATGACACTGATGTCACATGATGATTTTGACAATAACCTTGACACGAAAGTCACTAACAGTACTGCAATATCATTCACCGGTTGGCAGAACAAACGTGAGAGCATTTTAATTCGAGGTGTAGGCATCAACAGTCGGGGAAGAGGGAGAGGGAGTGGGTGGTGCGGAGAGCGACTTTTCAGATGCATCCTCCTGTTTTTCGTGACCATCCTTAGTCTCGGACTGAGATTTCGGCAAAAGACCTTCCTTTTCTCGCTTCTTTTGCTTCATACGACGATTTTGGAACCAAATCTTCACCTGAGTCTCGTTTAATTGGAGCGCAGCCGCGATCTCCACCCGCCTTGCACGAGTCAAGTACTTATTGAAATGAAACTCCTTTTCAAGCTCTGTCAGCTGTTTTGTAGTAAAATTGGTGCGTACAGTGTTTGGCTGCCCACCAAATCCATACTCTCCAGCTTTCCCTGAAGAGAGACGATAAATAGATGAATAAATGAGAGTGTGCATGCATAATCTTGTCTTAATTATATCACACCAATTATCCAGAATTTTACACAACCAGGGTGTTCGCAAAGCAATATTAAGTCAGTACTTGTTTTCTTTTTAATTCGTAACATGAATACTGTATCCGGAAAAGAAAACCATGTGAAAGTTCTCTAGCCACTCACCTGTTTTCGGGGGGTTCCGTTTAACCTTCATCCAGTCAAATGTCTGCCCTGTTGACACGCCATCTGATAGAGGTGAACAACATGCGTCGTGATGAGCCACATGCAGAGGGGATAGCGGATTTGAGCAGCCCGCCACAAACGTTAGGTTTGCCTGGTCCGAGCTATTACCATATGTGGCTGAGGCGTACTGGAACTGGCCATGGAGATGAACGTTTCCACTACTGTAACCATGGCGATGGTGACGGTGCTGCACAACCGTGGAGGAAATATTTCCAGAGTAAACTAGCGGGCCGCACTGGGGAAAGCTCACAGACGAGTCCACATCCTGATTTAGGGCACAGTGACTGTATCCGGCGCAAAAACTTTGAGTCCCGTAACTTGGATGGGCGCTGTAGGTAATTGACAGATTCCCGGGGGACTGGTACGAGCCGGCTTGGTGTTGCTGAGGGTTAATTGCGTCTTGTGATGATCTACTGGACATGTACCTCTCGTCCCCACCGCAGCTATTTACCCTTACAGCACACGATGACTGAAATGTTGAAAGTCCGTGGTCGCCATGAAACGCTCTGACTGAGCACGAGCCCCCGCCACCTGCATCTCCACCACCACTTATGGCCGAGAAATCTAGGAATGTGCTCATTGTGGCATCTTCCTGGGCGTCTTTGCGCGTGGCTGCCACACTGACAGATCTTTGGGCCCGGGGACTGATTAACGTCGCACCGCTCACCCGGGGTTGAGCCGAGCCACCCTTCTGCCTCCTTCAATCAGTCGTGGATTGGGGGGTGTACGCGCGCTAGTGATATGAATGACCAGTGACAGTCACGTGGGCTGGGTCAGCCAGTGATCAGTTGGTCTGTCTCATCTTGATCTTAAGTGGCCTTGCACTGACAGGTTGTCGTTAAAGACCAGGCTTATGTAAATGCCGACCTCTTGTCGATCAACGTGACGTAGGCCCACCTTATCCCCCATTGAAAGGATGGATTCGCTGGCAGAGGAGCAAGGAGAGATGTAGTTTCACAGACAGCGTCCAGGCAGCAACATATCGGTGTGGGGAAATATGTTGAAGAAATGCACCAGGTAAGATGAGCTCCAAACCACAGGGAAATAATGTAAAGTGAATGTCTTTTTATCTCCTTCTGGTTTATTGTATTTTGAGTCAGTTGCTGCTTTGTGAGGTTGCTATGCAGTCATTAGCTTTAGTCAACTTGGCCTTGAGTATAAAAATTATAAACCGGTAATAAAACTGATTGTATTTTTTTCATTATATCTTATCTTTTCATTAGAATGCATTTGTAATTTGATAAGGCTGAGTATTATTTGATAAAAAGCCTGCATAACCCACTGCATATTTATTGCTTTAGCCTAAGCAATTTTTGTGTAAAATCCATGTAAATTTTAACATCCTGAAAAAAATTATGCTGAACTTTGTCACATATTCCTTAATAAGCAATTGCTTGTTTTGCTGAATGATGTTTTGTGATCAGTTATCACATGAAAGTGTATTCCTATCCTCTAGCCCAGTGGTTCCCAACCCTGGTCCTGGAGGCACCCCAACACTGCACATTTTGCATGTCTCCTTTCTCTGACGCACCAATTTCAGGTCTTGGAGTCTCTACTGATGAGCTGATGATCTGAATCAGGTGTGTTTGATTAAGGAGACATGCAAAACATGCAGTGTTGGGGTGCCTCCAGGACCAGGGTTGGGAACCACTGCTCTAGCCTATAGTTGGGCAGGGGGACGTGCGCCCCCTCTGGATGAAAGGGAGATCTTTTTGAGAGATGTCCAATGTTATTTTTTTTGTCCTCAAAATGGCGCTTTCCACAATCTTCTGACGGCCTAGTATTTCTAATCCTCTCTTCTGAACCCATCGTTTTTAAACATGGTCCTTGACAAACAAGGCAAGAAAAATAACAACTGTTATAATGCACTTACTGTTTGTTTATTGCGGCTGTTCTTCATCTTGTAGCGAGCCAGAGTGTTAACATAGTACAAATTAGAACCTTAGAACAATGCATTTAAGCAAAATGTGACTACGAATCCGTCATTTGAGGTTTAAAAAGTAGAACCAACTAAATCTTGCAGAATTTTTCAGCCACATTCACAGACAATATTCGAGGAAGATGTATAGGAAGTGTGGGTGAGAAATATATGAACAAAAATATGATTGTCATTACGATTATACTATTTTATTAATATTAGAAATATTTGAAAAAAGATTTTAATGTAGGGTTCATAACCCATTTCTAACACATTTCAGTCAGGCTAGAAGGACAAGAAGAAGAAAAAAACTTAAAAGAGACAAAGACAAATAGCGTATGTCACGCGCAATGAAATATGTAGTTTATGAGTGTTTTGTGTAATCCTAATGCCGGGTATTAAAACGCCAATAAAAAAATGAATTATTATCCGTCCACGTGGGTTGTGCTTCGGGATCCAAAATCTTCTTAATGATAAACAGTGAGTGAAAACACTTATTTGGGCAGACTTTTCACAGGCAGTGATTGTCTTGGTGCTGTCAACTTGCCTGAAAGACTTTGATTTATGAGTTCGTTATAGAAAGAAACATCCTCGGCATTTCCCCACGCGGAGCGGAGAAAAGAGTCTGAGACAAAGAGCCTAGCTCTGGCGAAGAAGCCATTTTTGAACACGTTTTGTCATTTAAATTGTGACTTTAAATTAAAGATTGAAGAAGCTATATTTGAACACGTTTTGTCATTTAAATTGTGACTTTAAATTAAAGATGTGAAAATTTTACACATTCATATGTAAGCCTATAATATCAAATATAGTAGGAGTAATTATGCAGTTTGTTAATTTGCATCGTGCAAAATGGGCAACAACATAATATTTCATAAGTAATTATTTCTAGTGCACATTCATTCAGAAGTTTAAATAGATATTTAAAATGTTTTAACTAGTACTGATTTTTCCATGTCATCTAATAATGTTTCAGCATGGAAATTATACATGTGAGGAACATAAAACGTTAAATTATCAAATCAGTGTGAATGAAAACATTTGTATGACTTCTGCAAAGAACACTGCAGTAGACGTGAATCTAATAGTACATTTAATTTGGTTATTATTTCTTTATTTTGAAGTGTTATGACTGGTATAATGGATTTATAGCCTATTTAGGGACTAGCGAAATAATAGGTTGTTTTAATTGCTATTGATTTGAGAACAGAATATTGTCTTGACATTTGTATTTACAAAGTATGTTTATTTTTACAGAAATAAGCATCACTCGATACAGAAATAAAAGTAATCTAAACTAATACTTCTGTTATGAATGCATTAGGCCTATGCATTATGTATTACTAAATACAGGGCACAGGACTTATGTAGCTTACCTTCGATATGTTATCATAATCGCGTCAGATATTGCAAACAAAAAAATCATTTAAAACTCCTGATTTATCCTTTCATTTGTTCACTGATCCACTTCGATAATCAGTAATTTGCATTATGTAAATCAGCTGTAGTCAGAGAATCCGTAAAGAAATAAAAGTCTGTTGAAACATCATCTGTGCTTTCTAGAGACTTGTACAGCACTGGCGAAGCTGCATCAGACAGACATGAGTCGATCGAAAAAAAGTCCTGCACAGACATGTCCATAACATGCGGGGAATCGCAATTGTCCGTACTGGCACATCGGTTGCATATTATTATCCCCTTGCCCAGAGCAGTAGGTGACTGACTGGAAACATCTTTTAGACTTCTTTCCATAAATCTGTTACAAAACATTTCAAAATTTTGCATGTCGTTATCATTACAGGACTGCCCAGAGACGTTTGACAGGTCCTTTTGAAAAGTGTTCGACTCTCCATCTTCAACGCCCAATCTGCCATGACTGAGACCACAAATGGAGGCGTCCTCGTCGCTCTGTGCACCATTATCCTCCCCGACAGTTGTCTTGCTTAACTCCCCGTGGATGTCTTTAGTCTGGGTCTGGCGTTTATGTTTCATCCGTCTGTTCTGGAACCATACTTTAACCTGGCGTTCCGTAAGGTCGAGCAGCGCGGCTATTTCCACACGGCGTGGTCGGCAAAGGTATTTGTTGTAGTGGAATTCCTTCTCCAGCTCTAAAAGCTGTGTGTTTGTGTATGCTGTTCTCAGGCGGCGCGAACCTCCTTCTCCACTAGACAAACCGCCCTCGGGAAGCTCGGGTGAGCCTGAAAAAAATTAGTCCACAAAGGAACACGAACACTTGTTATGTTGCTTAGTCAAGCATACAATATAGGAGCATGACAACACCTAGTATTTGTCTATCGCAACATTAATGTAATCTTAACTGTAAATTGCGATAACACAAACTGATGAACTAAGAAAAAAAAAAAAAAAAACTGTAGACTGCGAACAGCATCATAGTGTGTGCGTGGTACCGACTACCATCTTCTAACGAATGCCTGAGTGGCCCCTTCCGCCACAACAGTAATCTATCATTCTCCGTTACACGTCAGACATCAGAAAGATTTTATTGATTTGAATTAAGCTACAGTCAAAAAAAATGACAGAAGTGGTAAATGAGAAAGAATAATATGAGGTAAATAGCGTGGAGAGGATTGTGAAGATATACGGTGATGCTCATATTTTCTCTCAGACCTTTAATGACCTTAATTCTTCCCATCTCTCTTCGCTTAGGTTTTCCTAAAACTCACCTTTTGGAGAGAAGCAAATGACTCCCGCAGGAGTCAAGAAGCCGGTCGGTGTGAGAGGACAGTTTCTCTTGTTAGTCTTCTTTTCGCGCATCCACAGGTATTCCTGGGTCAGAGATTTGGCGTGTAGTGGGCTTCCCCCATCTACGCTGTGCCGGGGCCCTGCATCGCGTGGCTGAGTCCCGAGACTCAAGCTTGGGATGGTGTGCTCGAAAGGAGGTAGGGTAAGAGGGTGAGGGCTCGTGAGCGCTGAGCTTTTGATTGATGACTTCTGAAATGAGTGGTCAACAGGGGGGAAAGCAGTAAGGCACTCCGCGAGCGATGGCAGACTATTGATGAAACCCGTCTCACGCTCAAACTCGTAATTCATTGTAAACCTGTTGTCTCACGCCCCAAGAGCGCGGATAGGGAAAGTTTGGCTTCGTTGAAGTTTACGAGTTTTCGCTCTCAATTAAAATAAGCAAGCTATGTGGAGAAAAAAGACATTCAAATTATTTTGTAATATGCCCGTGTGGACCCCTTGCTATTGCCAATATTCATTCAAAAGGAGACGTGGTTGAAATTGGACGGAAAAGACATGTCACATGATTACCTTTACCCAATGGCAATTTGGGGTTTATTCAAAAGGATCCAGCTTGAAAGATCGATCCGTATAACTTCTTCGAGCAACTCCTTTCTTAACAGGGTGTACATCGGTGTCATTGTGTCCGCTAAAGGCAATGGCCCTGAAGCTTCATTGTCAATCTCAAAACCAAGACTGGTGCATATAAGAATTAGAACCTCCCTTTTGCCCCTGCTGCACAGGCACGTGCATTCTCTCTGTGTAATGGTTTCACAAATAATGTGAGGGAATCAGTCTTGCTCCAGTACATTTGCCAAATAAGTTAGCCTGCTGCTGACAGATAAGTTTTTTTTTATCTTTTTCATTTTGGCTTGAAAAGACAGCTGTTTCAGCCTAGCCCCTTGTACCATTAATATGGCACATAAATACAACGAATTCACATATCCCCTCCCCCACACGAAAATCTGTTGACGTAACTTTCAGCCTATGGATCCTTAAGATAGCCTACACTGGTTAGACAAAAACATACAGCTCCATAAAACAAGCCCACGTACAGAACATTTTGTAAGGTCATCAACGACGATAGATAATCGCACTGAAATATATCATAAAATACATTATTATTCTATAAAGCTCTATTAATTTTTTTTTTTTTACAAAATAACGTGCAAGATAAAATGCAAATTAGAAGTCTGTAGACCTATATTTAACTATGAAGGATACACTCTCACTCGCTCTCTCTTCGATAGGGACCTACGTCGCTCTCAGTAAATATTTGAAGTAAAAGGCTTCCTGATACCAGATGTTTTCAACTGGAAGCTTTGTTTCCGAGCATATACCCGCAATGTTTGAACAGTGAGGATTAAAGTAAGTAAAAACCTTAATATAACATAAAACTTCACCTCTGCTCTATCTTGTTAATATGACACAACACTTTACCTCTAGTCTAGCTTGTTTCCTAATCGAACTTCTAAACCTGGCATTGTGAAGTCTACTATGAATGTTTTTGGCTCTGTGACAGATTGCTTCATGATGTTTCAGTTGGTAAATCGCTTTGGTTAAATCAATGAATGTAAAATGTAAACATAAGTTGTTACTTTTTAAACGAAACAACTGACGTTCATATAGATCTTTTGGATTATGATTAAACTAGAAGTAATTTTGTTCCATTTGTTTCATTCTACACAGGGAGGGGATTTTGTGTCTACTAACATTTTGAAAGTTTTTTTTTTTTGCCGGATTGTTTAAACGGGAAACTAGTACTTTGGTCGTTTGTAGATTCAGTGCTTATATACTAAACAAAGAGTTCTAGAAGCATGCACGCGATCAATCTTACTTGCCAAAAGGTATGACAGCCTCATGCCCCCACAACACATTTAAACCTTCTAACTCTACGAGGAACAAATCCTGGTAGAACGAGAGGAGAGGCTGGAAAAAGCTCCATTAGAGAGATTTGCCTGTTTCTCGCGCTCATAAACACAGACTATAAGTGACCTGGCATTTTCAGATTTACATACAAGGATCAGTAATTTGCTGTCGATGAGTAAGTAGTTTCTTTCATATTCTATAGCCAGCCTAATTTGATAAATGAAAGGACACGCTAATTTCGTCGCGGCGTGTAGTGTTATACAGCTATCTGGAGTAGCCAAGAAAAGAGGTTACTCTGTGGGAGGTGGCACTCATTCCAAGTCGGTGAAAACATGGCCCTGTTTTTTCTCATGAAACCCATAACCACATCTTGGGTTAACATGTCCTAAATTGATTAACTTTGCCTCACGCAAGCTCCTGCTAACATTATGCTATTAGGGCATTTTACAGAAAACTACAAAGTCCAAGTATTGCATTTATTTATAACATTAAAACGGCAGTAATTTGATAGGCTAAATAGGCTAAAGACTAGTGGAAAAAAAGGTATTTTTGTTTTAAATTATATTTGCTTTTTTTTTTTTTTTAGCAATTCTCCTTTTAACCAGTGTACTACACAACGAGGTTGTTAATCATTTAATTTAACGTCATTTCATGTAAAGTGAAATTATGAAACAACAGTATTGATACTAAAGAATTATGTGTTAATCTCGAGTACTATTACTAATGACAATAACATCAAATTTGGACTCAAATTACGAGTTGTTTCAGAGAATTTTGCGTTGATGTGTTTTTTGTGTGATGTGTGTTTTCTTTCTCTCTATTGCTTTTGTTGCATCTGTATTCTATACATTGCACTGCTGTTAGTCTAAACGAGGGCTGGGCTTGAGCATTTCAGAGTTTTAAAGCCTTTTTTCTCCCACAGGCACTGTTGGAGGCATGTAGGAGACTGTCACGACAATGGATGGGATTTCTTGGACTTTTCACAAACTGCAAGACTGCAGGAAATGACGGTGTAGGCTACCACTCATACTCAGTACATCCATCAGTATTAGGTTGTCTCTCCCTTTTCCAAATGTCTTTCAGTCGTTTTAATATGTAAGTTTCTTTTCATTTAGCTGAATTTGAACCAAAGAGTGACGTGCACTGAGCAAATTATCCAAAGCTTATTATATTGCTAATTTTCGCACTGAGCAAATTATCCAAAGCTTATTATATTGCTAATTTTCTGATGCTTTTTGTTGAGTAACTGCTCTACTATGAAGGCAAATACTTAAGTCAATTAGTGTATTTTATTTCTTCAGAAGTGGAGCAGCATGGAATGTATGACATCAACAAATGTTCAAACTAATAAAAAGCTTCTGATCGTTGTCTCTTTCGACTGTTTAAGCAACACATGATTAACATTCGCACACATCGATTAATATTCGAACACATTGACCTTTGATAAACAGTCTTGCCTGTTAGCACTCGTTTCAGCACTGACATGACTGGGAGAATCGCAGGATCTGGGTTCCTTTTACCAATTATCTGGAGGATTTGGGCTAAATAACACAATCTACTGTCCATGGAAACAAATAAATACATTTGAAAGACCTAAAAGACACGAGCTCACGCTGTATAAGACTGTTGAATAAAGAAATCGTGTTCATATGCATCCTTCCTCAAGTGCAAAATGCAAAACAGAAAATAAATCATGGACTGAGGAGAATTTTGAAGACTTAAAATTCACATAAAAAAACTGTTCTACTAATATGTGTACTCATACCCTGTTTCAGATTTCATCAAAACAATACAGGCCTACATATTCCCATGATGCCATGACATTTGAGCTTTGAGGAACTTTAATTTCCTTTTCTATGTATTAAGTAAAACCTACAACAAGGTCGTTTCACCTGAGGCTACGTCAGGAAACCAATATGAACCAAATATACGCAGCTGTAGGTGGCGGAAAACGCAGTTAGACAGGGAGCGCAAATGTGTTCCGTGGACTGGGACAGACATACATTGTATCGGCACTATAGATGCGTCAGTTTGGGCGCTTCTTGAATTCTTCCCTGAGAATAGTGCGGTGTAAGGTCTGTGAATGTGCATGGGTTTGGTTCGCACGTTCCTTGCTGATGGCTGTTTCCCATGGTGATAGCGCCGTTGTAGTCTATATTGCCTTGAGGTGGATGCGATAGATGTGTCAGGCCAAATACCGAGGCCCCCATCCCCACCAAAGAATCCGAGTAGCCTCCACCACCACTTACATAAACCGGGCTACCCTGCACTTGCGTCCCGTAATTGCTGTTGCCTTGAAGATGATGCGTGTCGTATTCCGGTGTGGCTGTGCCAGTCCCCGGATACCGCTTCTGAGGAGGTGGGCAGTTATTCAAAGGAGGTGGATATGACGTAGGAAGGCTGTACGCATTAGGCTGGGGTTTGTTGTACGATGCTGGAGAGGGTGAGTCGTAGGGCACGCTGTTAGCCAGAGAATGCATTGAACTTAAATATGCACTCCCACCCCCTCCTCCGCCACCAGATGACAGGGCAACGGGACTGTGAGGAGACTGTGCTCCAGGAGAGGGCATCATTCCTAGCCCCTTCTGGTCCTTTTTGTACTTCATCCTGCGATTCTGAAACCATATTTTAATCTGCCTTTCCGTCAAGTTGAGCAGATTTGCCATTTCCACTCGTCGCGGGCGGCAGAGGTAACGGTTGAAGTGGAATTCTTTCTCCAGCTCTACTAGTTGAGCAGACGTGTATGCAGTACGAGCGCGCTTGGAGGCGGCTGAACCGGGGGGACTCTTGTCTCCAGCGCAGCTCTCTACTGTACGAGGACAAAAAAGTAAACGAAGAGCGTTATTGCGCATGTCCCAGTATGAACCTCACTGTACAATATCAATCGTGCATTACTTTTACTGTTGTTTAAAAGACTGAATCACTCAAAAAACACTGCTGGTACATCACCATGTATTGTGCCATGAAAAGATAGTTCTACATCATTTTAAGGATTATATGGTAATAATATCATGCTATCCCTGTTAAAGCAAGCACATTATAACTGTATCAAAAACATAATAGCTTACTTTTTCTCATTAGGTTATACAAAAATAGGTATTGGCATAGTCTGTTCCGGAAGTGGGGCAGAGGGAGGATGCGATCAGAATCCAACTGTACTGTATTTCCACAACAGTTTCATAGTAATTACCAAATAAAATAGCTGACTATGAATGAAACTATGTAACTGTGCAGCAGAAACAGCGGTATTTGTTGGAGGTGTCATCGGTGCACAGCCTTTGGTAAACTCGGAATTTAAACATCAAACCTGTCCGATTACCTCCAAAAGCACTATCCTAGAAGTTTGGTTTACATGTGGTCCAATGTATCATAAATAAACAGTGAATAGCAATGGAAAGGCGATACAGGCTAAATTACAAATTCCATGCAGCATATAGGCTAGATTCCTGTTTATATATTTTATAACATTTATGTTATTAGCAGACTCTTTTTTACCAAAGCAACAACACACTGCACAAATCATGTTAGCGAATAAATAAAAATAAAAATAAAAATAAATAATTCCATGTGAATACTAACTCCATAGGCTAGCTAGACGCGTTATAGCTCGTATTCATTTATATATTATTTTATAAACGTGTATATTTAGGCTATTTAATTTAAGGTGTTACAATGTGGTTGATGCAATCACCTGAAATGGTACTACAGGATTTCTGCTTTGTGTTCTGACGGGATTCCTTCATCCACGGAAAAATTTGTTTTCTTGTGCCTGGCGTTGGAGATGCGTGCCCTGGGTTCTTGGCGGTGGTATCACTGCTCGGAATTTGGTTTAGGGAACTAGGGGAAGATGGTCCGGAAGGGGCAGTAGGGGGCTGGTTGTTGTCGGGGATGTCTGGTACTGGGGTTTGTGTCCCGTTACTCCGTTGGCAGCCCTCGGAGATTTCACTGGGTTTGTGCAGAGCCGCAGAGCCACCAGGGGACTGCAGGGAGCAGGCCGGTCGATGGTACTCACTTTCCACATGAAGGGCCTGGAGATATTGCTGCTGATTGGCATCATAACCTAAACCGTTTGCGCTTTGATAGGGGAAGCCACTGTAAATTGCCGAGCCGTCGCAATAGGTCGCTTTTTGCATCTCGCCGTTTCCCAATGTTTATTTCACTTTCTGACAAGGTCCTGACACCTTCGTAGAAGAACATTGGCTCGACGTAGTCACGTGACAC